GGGGGGGGCTTAGCACTTGGAGCAAAGAGCAAAGCCGGGGCAGAGGAGCTCCTGGCACACAGAATGACAGATTAAGAAAGCATCAGAACGGAGAAGAGCGGGGTTGGCTGTGAGGGACAGGGAGCTAAAACAGAATCAAGCTTAAAAGGAACTGTACAGATCACTCAACCCAACCCCTGCCATTTTACATTAGAGCAAACTTTACCAAAGATCACCTATCAAGCAAGTGGAGTCCTGAACACTCCACCTCGGGTCCTGCGACTCCCAGACCAGCGCTCTTTCACCTGCCTCACAAACAATCACATGGCCATGCTTCATCAGGTCAAAGGGCTGAGTCACTCTTACTATCCCGGGGACCACAACACACCAACCGGCCGGCAGAGAGGCAAACACTCCCTGCCGTGACAGATCCCTTAGCGCTAGTACATAAAACCAGACCGAGGCCCTCAAAGCTGGGAGCTGTTTGGAGCTCAGTGCAGGGGCCGGGGACACTGATGCAGCCGGAGGGAGACACAGGTCTGCCAGGCACACACCGCAAGGACGTCCCCACCATTTCCATCCCGCCTAACAGAAATGGGGCTGATTTTCCCGAGGCTGCCCCCAAAGGAGCAACCAAAAACATGGTCGTGGAGAACCGGAAACTAGGAAGATTCCAGCATGAGACCTGGGGTAAAATCGTCCTCTCGAATGCCACTGAATGAGCCAACACCTAAGGTAGACCAGCCGGCCTGCTGGAGGTTTGGGCAGTCAAGTCTCTTGGGAGGTATTGAATTCTTTTGTACATTAGGCTGAAGATAACAGGGCATCACCGACATCGAAAAGTGTTAGGCATGAAGACATTTCACTGGATGAAAAACTGGAGCCCTGGTGGGAGAAGTCTGGGCCTGAGAGAAAAACGATTTGATGTATACAAATAGATCCTTTTAACTCACAAAACATGTTAACACAAGGAATCAGCAGAAATCTAATCTTTTGCTCTGGGACACATCTAACTAGAAGCTGAAAGGCAACAGGTTTTGGCGGCAGGAAATACTCCTCTTTTCTACTCTCTCACATCAGTCCAATAAATAATTTACAGTTATATACAAAGTTGGCGCTCCGGCCACTAGTGGAATATTGAACCCCAAAGCCTAACCAAAGGGGCACAACTCCCAGTTCTCTTTTGTGTGAATGGAGGAAGGAGGGGAGGCCAGGGAGGATGTCGGCTCTGTTGGAGGTGTTCCAACCACCCGGCTGGATACCGATCTGAGCTGCGGCTTGAGAGAACTTGTCTGCCCAGCAGGGCCAAGGTGCTCAGCGCAGGGAGAAGGGTGGGCAGCCAAGGAGGGGTTCCAGGTTCCTCATGGTCCCTTTCAGCACCATGCTCCAGCTCACACTGGGGCAGGCAGAGGTCCAGCACCCACTGGAGGGGTAAGTCTTCTAACCCATGGGCTCATTTTGAGTCTGAAGAGATACCCCCCCCCACCATCACCACTCCCCCAAGAGTAGGCTGAGGTCTTCAGGTACACTCTTCCTTCTCCAAATTCTGGCCTCATGGGTGCAATTTTGTACCCCGGCTCCCCATCATGCAGGGAAGAGCTCTGGTGGGTTCTCTCCATAGCAATATTTTGCGATGGGGTCCCTGTAGGTGTTCTCATGCTGCACACTCTGTGAGGGAAGAGAAAGAAAAGAGAGTCACGAAAGAGTGGGAGAGAGATGAGGGAAGGGGGGGGGGGAGACAGACAGACAGAAACAGCGAGAGACAGACACAGACAGAAAGAGAGAGACAGAGACAAGAGACAAAGAGAGACAGAAGACCATCGAACAGACAAAGAGAGCACACAAAACTTCACAAGACTTTCTAACTTGGAAGAAGGAAATAGACAACCTCAATTAGAAACTCATTCATATCCTGGCTGATTCTCACTCTAATTCAACCATTAAATAAAAATCTATTAAGCACCTGCTGCATGCAAGGCACTGTGCTAGTCCAAAAATAATCTCTATCCTCAAGAAGCTCATGTTATAATGAGGGAAATATGACATATGGGGTAATGGTGACAAGAGGAGGGGGTACTCTGGCTTGGAAAGTCACTTGGGATGGGGAGTGGAGCCACAAAAAGCAGACGGATATATTCTTTCAGCAGTAAGCATCAGTACTGATTTTTTTTCTTGGTTTCTTTTAAAAATTTTTATAATTTATTAATACTCATTTAAAAAAATTCAAGTTCAAATTCTCTCCCTCCCACTGAGAAGGCAAGAAATGTGATATCAATTAAACATGTGAAATCGTGCAAAACACATTTCCACATTAGCAATGTTGCAAAAATTTTTTAAAGTAAGAAAAATAAACAAAGTGAAAAAATTATGCTTCAATCCACATGTAGGCTCCATCAATTGTCTCTCTGGATAGCATTTTTTATCATGGGTCCTTTGGAATTGTCTTAGATCACTGTATTAATCTGAGTAGTTACGTCTTTCTCAGATGATCACTTCTGTTACCACGTACAATGTTCTCCTGGTTTTGATCATTTTACTTTACATTAGTTCATGTGAATATTTCAAGGTTTTTCTAAAATGCTCCTGCTTGTCATTTCTTACAGCACGATAGTATTCCATCACACTAATATAACACAACTTGTTCAGCCATTCCCCAATAGATGGCCATCCTCACAATTTCTAATTTTTTACCACCACAAAAAGAGCCGCTCTAAATTCTTTTGTACATATAAGTTCTTTTCCTTTTCTTTTGATCTTTGGGATACAGACCTAGTAGTGATACAGCTGGGTCAATAGGTATGCACCGTTTTATAGCCCTCTGGTCATAGTTCCAAATTATTCTTCAGAATAGCTGGACCAGTTTACAATACCATCAACGGTGCATTACTGTCCCAATTTTTCCACATCTCCTCCAACATTTGTCACTTTCCTTTTCTGTCATATTACCCAACCTGATAGTTCTGAGGTGGTATCTAATTATTTAAATTTGCATTTCTCTAACCACTAGTGATTTAGAGCATTTTAAAAATATGACTATGGATAGCTTTGATCCGAAAACTGTCAGTTCATTTCTTTTGACCATTTACAAATTGGGGGATGAATCATACTTTTATAAATTTGACTCAGTTCCCCTATGTATTTGAGAAATGAGATCTTTATCAGAGAAACTTTCTGTACAATTCCACCCCTATCCCCCAGTTTCCTTCTTTCCTTCTAATCTTGGCTGCATTGGTTTTGTTTATGCAAACTCTCTTTAATTCAACATAAACAAAATTATCCATTTTCTTTCCCATGATCCTATCTCATTTGGTCAAAAAAATCATCCAAAGATGTGACAGGCAAAATTTTCCATGCTCCTTTAATTTGTTTATGCTATCATCTTTTATGTTCAAACAATGCACCCATTCTGACCTTATCTTGGCATACATTGTGAGATGTTGGTCTATGTCTAGTTTTTGCCAAACTGCTTTTCAGTTTTTACAGTAATTTTTGTCAAATATTGAGTTCTTGTCCCAAAAGCCTGGATCTTTGGATTCATCAAACAATAGATTACTACAGTCATTTACTACCAATATAGTCATTTATACTATGTATCTAATCTGTTTCACTGATCCACTCCTTTATTTTTTAGCCAATACCTGATTGTCTTCATGATTACCACTATGTAACACAGTTTGAAATCTGATATTACTAGGCCACTTTCCTTCACAATTTTTTCCCATTAATTCTCTCAATATTCTTGACCTTTTGTTCTTCCAGATGAATTTTGTTACTGTTTTTCCTAGCTTTATAAAATAATTTTTTGGTAGTTTGGCATGGCACCAAATAAGTAATTTAGGTAGAATTATCATTTTTATTATATTGGCTTGACCAACCCACGAACAATTAATATTTCTCCAATTGTCTATATCTGTCTTTATTTGTGTGAAAAATGTCTTTTGTAATTGTTCATATAATTTCTGGGTTTGTCCTGGCAGGTAGACTCCCAAGTATTTTTACTGTCCGCAGTTATTTTAAATATAATTTTTCTATCTCTTGCTGCTGGATTTTGTTGGTAATATATAGAAATGTTGGTGATATATGTGAGTTTATTTTTATATTCTGCAACTTTGCTAAAGGTAATTGTTTCAACTAGTTTTTTATAGTTGATTCTCCAAGTATACCATCAAATCATCTCCAAAGAGTGGTAGTTTTGTTTCCTCACTGCCTATTCTAATTTCTTTTTTCTTCTCTTATTTCTATAGCTAGCATTTCTGGTACAATATTGAATAATAGTGGTAATAATGGACAGCCTTGCTTCACCCCTGATCTTATCAGAAAAGCTTCTAGTTTATCCTCATTACATACAATGCTTACTGATGGCTTTACACAGATACTTTTTTTTTTTATTTTTGCTTTGTGCTAAGCAATTGGGGTTAAGCAACTTGCCCAAGGTCACACAACTAGTGTTGTGTGTTTTGTGTCTGAGACCAGATTTGAACTCAGCTCCTCCTGACCCTAAGGCCAGAGCTCTATCCACTGCGCCACCTCACTGCCCCCAGACGCTACTTATTTTAAGGAAAGTTTCATTTATTCCTATGCTTCCTAGTATTTTTGAAAGGAATGGGTCAAAAGCTTTTTCTGCATCTACTGAAATAAACATATGATTTTTGTTGTTTTTGTTACTGATGTGGCCAATTGTGCTGATAATTTTCCTAATACTGAACCAGCCCTCCATTCCTAGTATGAATCACACCTGGTCATAATGTATGATCTTTGTGATTATATTGCTGTAATTTCCTTGCTAGTATTTTATTTTAAATTTTTGCATCAATATTCATGAAGGAAACTGGTCTATGGTTTTCTTTCTCTGTTTTTGCTTTTCCTGGTTTAGACATCAGCACCATATTTGTGTCATAAAAGGAATTTGGTAGGATTCCTTCTTTGCCTATTTTTCCTAATAGTATTAGAACTAATTATTCTTTAAATGTTTGGTAAAATTCACTTGTGAATCCATCTGGTACTGGGGCTATTTCCTTAGGGAGCTCATTTATGGCTTGTTCATTTTCTTTTTCTAAGTATTTAAGTATTCTATTTCCTTTCCTATTAATCTGGGCAATTTATATTTTTGTAAACAAGCATCCATTTCACTTAGATTATTACATTTATTGGCATATAATTGGGCAAAATAGCTCCTAACAATTGCTTTAATTTCATTTTCATTGGTGGTGAATTTACCCTTTTCATTTTTGATACTGGTAATTGGGTTTTCTTCTTTGTTGTTTTAAATCAAATTAACCAATAGTTTATTCTATTGTTCTTAATGTTTTTGAATAAAATCAGCTCCTAGTTTTATTAGTTCAATGATTTTCTTACTTTCAATTTTACTAATCTTTCCTTTAATTTTCAGGATTTCTAATTTGGTGTTTAATTTAGGATTTTTAATTTGTTTTTTTTTTCCTAGTTTTTTTTTTTTTAGTTGAGTGCCAAAATCATTGATTTGCTCTTTCTCTATTTTATTGGTGTGCTGTTGAGTCATTTTTCAGTCATGTCCAATTCTTTGTGACTCCATTTAGGTTTTCTTGGCAAAGATGCTAGAGTGAATTGCCATTTCCTTTTCCAGCTCATTTTACAGATGAGGAACAGACACAAACACAGTTAACTGACTTGCCTAACTCAGGAAGATGAGTCTTCCCAACTCCAAGTATGGTGATCTATTCGCTGTGTGACCTACATGCCCTAATTATTTTAGATTATTTAGTTTCCAATTAATTTTTAATTTATGCACCCAAGGCCCTTTATTGAAGGCAATTTTTATTGCATCATAATCTGAAAAGGATGCATTCAATATTTTTGCTTTTCTGCATTTGTTTTTTGAGGTTTTTATGCCCTAATACACAATTTTTCTGAAGGTGCTGTGTACATCTGAGAAAAATGGTATAATCCTTTCTATTATCATTCAACTTTTTTTTCCAGATGTCTACCACATCTAACTTTTCTAAAATTCTATTCATCTCCTTAACTTTTTTCTTATGTATTTTATGGTTAGATTTATCTAGTTCTGAGAGAAGAAAGTTGAGGTACCTCACTAGTACAGTTTTACTGTCTATTTCCTCCTTTAAATAAATATATTTAACTTTTCTTTTAAGAATCTGAATGCACTGCCATTTGGTACATATATGTTTAGTACTGATATTATTTCATTGTCTGTTACCTTTCAGCAAAATGTAGCTACCCTGCCTCTCTCTTTTAATTAGGCCTAGTTTTGCTTTTGCTTTGTCTAATATCGTGGTTGTTACTTGCTGCCTTTTTCACTTCAGCTGAAGCTTAACAGATTCTGCTCCAGGCCCTGATTCTAACTCTGTGTGTCTTTCTGTTTCAAGTGTGTTTCTTGCAAACATATTGTTGCGTTCTGGTTTCTAATCCATTCTGCTGTTTCTGTTTTATGGGTGAGTTCATCCCATTTACATTCACAGTTATGATTACTGTGTATTTCCCTCCATCTTATTTTTTCTTGTTTATCCTTCTTTTTTTACCCTATTCTTTCTCAAGTCTTTCACTTTCACTTCTGACCACTGCCTCCCTTGACTGACCCTTCATTCTGTTGCTACCCTCTCCCTTCTCTTATATAAACCTTCTTTTCTTACTTCCCTATTGGGTAAGAAAGATTTCAATTGAGTGTTTTGAAC